AATGGAAAAGAGTGTGACCTGTGACCCTTGGTGATGAAAGACCGCTGTTGACAGATATAGTATACCTGTGAGAGCCCTCTGTGTTTGGCTTGTCTGCGGGGGTTTGGGTTCTGGACTGCAGCCTGGACCAATTCACACGTTCTCCACTGGTAAAATTCTCAGTCGGTTCGCAGTCGGTATCGATACAAACAGCTCTGCCCTTAGATAAACATGTATTCACGAACATGAATTGTGTAGACACACAAATGGGGGCATAAGCACACATCGCCCATCCACACAATGCACTCAGTGTGCTGTGTCTCTCACAGGGGTACATTTTCTTTCAGCGTAGAGTGTAGGAAGGAGGGGCAGATGGGGTAGCAGTGCTGTGAGTGAAACCGGAGCTGGCTGAGGAATGCAGGGGGTGTTTTTGGAGGACTGGAGTGGAGTTTGGGGGGTGAAGGGGGGTTGACTTAAGGGGTAGGATGGGTGATTAGGGGGTGACAGCTGAGTGCTGACCCCTCTATAATGACAAATCATCTGGCAGGTGTGTGGCTCTGCACCCCTCCTCTTCCAACCCCCATCATTTCCAGGCCAGGAATCCTCAACCGCTGGAGTAGAGCGCTAAAGGAAGACTTCCGGACATTCACACTCCTGTCCAGCAGCCTCATGACTGGCCTCTCAGAAGTATGGGGCAGCCTCTGCCCAGATATTGCCTGCCCTGTGCTTGTCAGCTGCCCTCTTTGTGCACTTGACGCACCAGTCTAAGCTCTTTCGCTTTAATAAACATAGCTAATGAGTCTTCAGTCCTTGGGGCTGACTCAGGTAGGGTAGGTTTTATTGATTTATCTTTGTAGATGTCATTTTCCCTTCCAGCGTGCTTTCAGGCAGGCTGCTTGGGTCATGAATCATGCTGATGACGGGCTGAATCCAAAAAGTCTCTCATCCTTGAAATAAAAACAAATGCTGACCCTGGATCAGTCAGGATGCTGTGAAAGTGGATCGGTGCCAAGCTGTGGCCCAGTATCAGGTCAGAGCAGCCGGTCTCTCTCAGAAAATCCTATTCATTCCGATATTAGCTCATGATTTCTGTTCCATTAAAGGAGCCAGTTCAGCTTCTTTGAACTTGCTGCATGATATACAGAAATGTTAAGTCTTGATGTGTAAAAAGAAGAAAAACCACATACCGTAATTAAAAAACTACAGTGAGTGTTGTTTAAGACTGATTCAGATTGTCCTGTGCGTCCGCTCTGTGGTTTGTTTGTTGATTAAGTGGCACTTGCTGAAATAGTCGTTGTAGCATTACAGGCCTCGTTGTAGCATTACAGGCCTCTTTTCTTTTCTATCAAGCCCAGGCTTCCACAGCTCTTCTTAATCCAATTCCAGCCAACACATGGAGTCTAGACAAGAAGCCCAACGCAGCCTGCAGCTCTGTCTGATATCTGCAGTTTTCCCTCCAGAGTCCCAACCTCGCAGCTATTTCCCTGAAGAACCCAAAAAGCCCGCCGTACCAGCAACAGCATCGCAGATCCAAACACAAATAGGAGCCACACATTCTCAGCTGGAAATCGTGTAGAACCCGCCGGAACATTTCGGCACTTATCTTTTCACTTTGAATTAGAGATTGGGCTGTGCGGTGTTTTCCAGGCAGGCGGAGTGGGGAATACTTTCGGGGTCCTGACAGGAAAATCTCTGACCGTTATTAGCATTAGTGGGAGACATTGCCCAGGTATTTAGAGTTCCAGACCCAAGTGGAAAAATGCTGTTAGCTCTGAACAGTTTTGATCCAACTCCACGTGGCTTTTTTGAAAGAAAGGGGTAATAACAGATGGTATGAGTGGAGGCTGAAAAATAATGCAAGCACTTTATCTATTATGTTGTTGATAATCCAAAAAATGATTGGATTGATTTCACATGAATATTACAGTAATTCATGCCCATTGTTGTGGTGAAGGAAGAGAAAAAAATCTGGAAGAACATAAGACTCTTTTGAGTGTGTATACTAATGGAAAACCCCTGTCATATTCCCTTGTGGCAATTGCAGTGTCATACAGTGTCATTCAGTTGTCTTCATCACCTGCACTCGTCTTTTCCCCACTCCCCCCAAGCGACAAAATGGGCCAGTCCAAAGTGACCCATATTTACCCAATAATACGAGGCTTTGAAAAGACCCATATCGAGTTGCAGCTAATGCTCCAGTGGGGCCCGGAGAGTGAAAGATGTTACCGGCCGAAACGGCTTGGGTTTCAGGGCCCTGCGAACAAAAGGCAGTCCAGTCCTCAGAGAGAAAGAGTGGAGGGGGGGGAGGCTTGGAGAGTGTGAGTGCACACGGTAGCGTGAGAGGGGCTCCAAGCGTCTGTTTCAAAGGGGTATAATGTGTGTGTTGTATCTTGTGGTAGGATAGAAGGGGGTGTTAAAGAAGCCTGCCTGTTTTCGTAAGCAAGGGTGCTTCACATTTTTTAATGCATTTCATGTTGTTGCACGTCTTCTGCATTTTCAGGCCACTCTTAATATTTCAGCATTGTCGAGTATGGTCATGTGAAAAGAATCCAGTTCATCTTTCAGCTTCACAAACATCCATTTGCCGGTCATGTGTACGTACATGTATGCGGCTGGCCTTTACAAGGAGATCGGATACAGCAGTTGAGTTAATGGAGCAGAACTGAACTAACCTCTGGTGTTAGGGGTGAGCAAAGGGCAGACAGGGTTGGTTTAAGAGAAGAGGGTTTGTGATGATGATACCCAAAGGTGATTTCACCTCATATCCTCCCTCCTCTTCCTACTTCCCACCCACCCCCACCCCCATCCACATATTCCACTCGCCCTCTTCCTTCATGTTCTCCTTTTGCTCTCTCTCTTTCTCTCTCTCCTCAGGGGCAGGCAGGTATAAAGTTACACAGAGCTCTCAGCTTTCTTGGAAGGAATGACCACATGAGTAGCTTGGGGATTAGATTAGCAGGAAGAGCAGACTTAGCTGGGCTGTAAATAGCCCACTTTTTTCACCATTAAAAAGGCTCAGTACAATATAATCAATAGATAGCACTCATCTGATGCAGGAAGCCATATGAGAAGACCTCCCTCAAGTGCTCTGAAGGACAGGCTACAGCAACTTGGGTCTAATGAAGTTATTATTAATCACTGGGCCCCCTGTTTTGAACTTGTGTGTTGTTTCTCTAGTGGGTGATGAGTGGTCTTTGTGTGCAAGACCTGATTGACATCTCTTGCTGCTCTTCTTCTCACTTTTACTATTTGTTGTAAAGACAAGCCAAGGTCATCTCACACGATATTCATGAATGTTTGACTTTATGCGTTTATGTGACATGTCATGCTAGCGAATATGTTTCAACTTTTATTTTCTGCGAAGGTTTTATTGCATTACGAACAAAGCATCTCGTAGAATCCTCAAACACCGAAGCAAAATACGATCTATTCAGCGTGTAGTCTCACCAACACCTTTTTTCTCCCTGTCCATCTCTCATTCGCGCACACACATACACCTCAACCCTGTCAGTCTCTCTGAGCCTCCCCACAGGTGTTAGGTTACTCAGTAAAGCAGCTTGAATGGGTACAGAAATCACAGAAAGCCGTCTGTGCTCTTGATTCCCGTTTCACTTTGAAGTTTCCCTCAGCTCACAGGAACAGGGGCCACAAAGCCAGACTCGTGTGAGGGCTTTAGCCCTCTCTGCCAGGACTATGGTTTCTGCAGGGTTGGGGGGTGCAGGGGGGAGACGGTATTGACAGGCAAGGCTACGCGTTGTCTCAGTTGCTGGAGGACTTTGCTTTTTTAGCTTTGTAGTCAGATGTTACAAGAAAGCAGTCCAGAACATGTGTGCAGGTTTCTCCACCAATTACCACTTTTTGACAGCACAAAACAGTGAAGGAAGGATTAGAGTAGGTAGGGACACAGGTAAACCCCGCCCAATATACACAACAACAATAAGAAGGGGGGCATCTTTCACTGTGGGGACAAGATGTGGAGAGTAAATTAACAGCTCGACTGTTTTTCTGTCTGTGCACGAATGTGAAAATAAACAGTGCCTTTTGGCTTTGCTTCAGAACCTGAAAAGGGGCTTTGGCAGGATACATCTGTAAGCACTTAAAAAATAAAAGACACCCATAATACTTTAATAGAGCCATGTTAGAGAGGCTTTTAGGCACAAGGTGTTCCAGTGTTAGTGTATGGGTACGTCTGTCTTCGCTGATCTCATCAAAGGGCCGTGGAGAGCCAGAAAAAATAACTTCAAGTGTGGATTTAATGAAGAATAAACTTACACTCAAGTTACACTCACAGGCACTACTTTTGTAACCAGCTCGGGCTGCCAGTCAGTCGCATTATTTACAAAATACCTCACTGCTGTTACTGACCATGTCTCTCTGTGTTCTCAGGTATCTCAACCACGTGCGGGCTCCCTTGCCTCAGGACACAGCTGGAGGATACTCCTCAGCTTTGGCGTGTCACCGAGCCATTCAGGATGCTCTCAGTGGGCTGTTCCCCCCGAAAGACTAAACAGCCACTGGTTAGAAATGTGAGCGAAAGGACTATAAAACTTACACTGCTGCCACCATGGTCATGATGTTTTTTGTCTTTATATTTCGTGTAAATTTATTTTTTAAATAAATCACAAAGAACATTGAGAATCTGTCCATTGTTTTCTCGATTTATTTAAAAGTGAAACATAGGATGTATGATGCCAAGCTCTGAATAATATTAGTTCAAATACATTCTGATTTCTTATAACAAGATGCAACAACATCTGTAATAATAAAAAAAAAATCATCAGTAAAACTCTGTTGTTAAAAAAAAAAAAAAAAAAAAATTCTCAATTGAAGATTCCTTCATTCCTTATGGTGCCGGGTCAACATGATGATTATGTCGAATCTGTAGCTTCTTCACACTTCTGTCGCTTTGGCGCTGGTTCTGCTGAAGGCTCTGTGAATGAACAGTATCTGTTTAGAATTTAATAGTGTACAACTTTATTGTCCACCAAAATGGAAAATAGTCTTTGGCCCATCTGGCAGTAAATTAAAACACTGACTGTGTGAATACTCTAAGTTAGGGCTGCGACAAAAGATCATTTTCATTATCTAATGAGACTAATCTGCTGATAATCGTAAATCATTACAGTAAAATGTCAAAACAGCATTCCCAGAGCTGAAGGTAAAATATTCAAATTACTTGTTTTCAATGACTAATGCAAGGATCTTCAATTTACCTTCATACAAGATGAAAAAAGCAGAAATTGCTCAAATTTGAGAGACAGAATTTTACTTGACAAATGACTAACAATAAATGCCTTTTTTGTGAAATTCTCTACTCTTTTACTCTAGTAAAATATAATACGCAAACATTAGCGGGGCAAGAAAAAAAGAAAGAACTGAACAATGCATTTACCTGTAGGATTAACTTCATAAATGTTTATTGTTGCCAAAGGCAATGGTCAACTTTCTCAGTCCTCTAATGCATAGAGAACAGGGATATGAAGATTTCTCTTTAATTCTGTTTCCAGAGCTTCCAACTGGCTCTGTGGCCTTTTACTAGAATTGACATTCATGTTAACATTTGTTTGTTTCTCCCCCCAAAGTCATTATGAATTTATTACAAAAATCCTCACTGTTTTATGAATTAATTCTCACCTGTCTGTTCGTGATCACTGCTGAAGAGGACCTCTTTAGGGATTGTGAATCTCACACACATCATATCTTTGTTGGGTGCTACATTACGCACAAACTGCACTGAACAGCGGCTCTTAAGAGGGAATCCAAGGCTGCGGGAAACCCTCTTCACCACATCCATGTCAGGGTTGTCATCTTTAGAGAAACTATAGCAGTGCACTGTGGGTAGGTTCTCATCACAGCAAGGCTCGTGGTGCAACAGGCCTCTGAATGCATCCAGGAACTCCAGTGCCAAGGCTGGCAGGTTCATCACTACATGAACGCTGGCCTTCCCACTCAGCAGCGCAGGCAGCTCCTGCTTCACAGGCCCCTGGATGAACGCTCTGCCGTCCAGGTTGAAGGTTCGGACTTTGCTCTCCACCTTGTTGAGTTTGCAGTTGTGCTGCAGCCATCGGTAGGACTCGGGGTTGAGATCGTTGGCCAACACGTTGGCACCGGAGCGGGCAGCTGGTACGGCGAAGGGTCCGACGCCAGCGAACACATCAAACACCGTGTCACCACGTTTGATGAGCTGCACCACACGCTGATGCTCTGTGCTCAGCCGGGGATTCCAGTACACACGAGAAAAATCAAACTCGTATGTCACTCCGTTTTCTTTCACCTGCAGCACAGACGAAGAACAATCAAAGGTCTGACTTTACTTGAGTTACAAATATATAGATATATGCTTTGTAAATGTGTCTATAATTAACATGAAATAAATGAATACATTTGTGATTTAACCTACTTTGGCAACCATGTTCTCCTCTCCAGCTATCACCTCCATTTTGAAGTTGCGGTAAGTGGAGTCGATCATGTTTGTCTTATTGACCACACAGGTAACACCAGGGTTTTTGTCAATGATGACTTGACCTGCAATGGAAGCAACCACAAAGTTAGCAGTGAATATGACTTCTTAACTCTCTGACAAAGAAATCTTTAAACTGGTGTCCTTTAAGTTAGGCACCAAACCTCATAATTTACATGTAATATGTGTTTATACAAAAATATAATTTATAATAAAACAAATTTGTAATACAGATGCAGCTCTCTATATGTCAGCTAGCTCATACAATTTATGTGCAATTGGACATCAAATGTTTTCTGAGAGAGCTGATAAAGTGTTTCAACCCAAAACCGAACTGGAGGCATCAGTAAAAAGTCAAAGTTTTGTCCTTTTAAGTCAGTTGATGTTATTTGCCTATGTAAGAAGGAAAAGAGCCTGCACACTGTAATACATTAATGCAACCAAGTCATTGTGCATTAAAGTTACAGAAGTGTGCAAACTCTCTTCAATGTTTCAGAAAAACTTTGAATGCAGTCACTTATTGCAGACACAGTCACAAACATAAGGCCCAAACTCATACAGACAGGTGAAAACGTAAAGGAAAAACGTAAATGAATTAGGAGAAACATGACAAATACAAATGCTACAAGGCGCGAGGTGCTCACTGAATGGCTTCATCAGTATGATGATGTGAATTATAAGCTTAGTTCTTCACGGTCACCACATCTCAACCTTATTCTGGAGCAACATGTTAGACGGCGCTCTCCATCATCAAAACATCAAATGAGGGACTATCTTTTTGAAAGCATGATGCTCATCCCTCCACTGAACTTCCAGAGACTTGTAGAATCTGACGATGAAAACTGAAGGCAACCTTGTGTTGGGGTTTCCTTTAATTTCCCATCAATCTATTACTTTATACTCAGATCCTTCTGTTGCAACGTCTGCCTCTCACCTATGAGGTGCTTGTATGGGAGCTGGTGGTCCCTCAGGTTCATGTGTGCGATGTGTCCCACCCGGCTGAACCCAGAGGTCACATCCTGACCCTGAGGGAGCACAGCCTCCAGCACTTCTTCGCTCTTCAGGTTGTGATAGGTGAGCCGCAGGTCGTAGTACTGCAGCTCCTCGGTGACACCAAATGACCTCAGAGCCTCGGCTTCAGCTTCACTGAAGGAGCTTGGCGAGGACACATTGTGGGGGTCCAACAGGACTAAACGAAAGTCACTACTCTCCTCTTTATCTTGTACCACTCTGGGCACCCCTGGGCGCTGGATGGTCGACTTTCTCAGGCTCTTCACTACTTTATTTAAGACCCCAGTAGGCACCCGTAGCGCTGGGACAGTGACGGTCTGTGTGAAAGCGTCTTTGTCCAGAGTGGTCATACCCCGGACCTCTGGTGGGGGTCGGTACAGTTTAGGCTCCATTGTGGGCTTCACAGCAAAGCCAGAGCACGCTGAGGCTGCAGAGCAGAGGCTCCGGTGCACAGCGGCAGCTTTTGGGCTTCTTTGAGTTTGCGTAGATACAAAGACTCTGGAGAGGAGCCTGAAATTACAAAATAAATCTGCTATTATAAAACAGAGGAGTAAAAAATGCACATCGTAACTGTGAACCGAGAGTTACATTTAACAAAACGGGGCGACTTAAGGCTAAATAATTAGTAATTATGTTGTTATTTTCAAAAAACTTATCCATCAGAGCTCACCTCAACATCCTCCGCTCACCGACATGCTTGAATCGCGTCATCGGCAGGCGACCACAGCCGACTGGTGATTGGTCAAACGAGCAGAAAGCCAATTCCTGATTTGGCAGCCTCCTTCTGACGTGTCAAATGCGACGGAAAAGAAAGTCATGTGACGTGAGTGATCAACAACAACAGTCAGCAGCAACAGCTGATATGTTGATAACAGGAGAGTTTAAAAGGATTACAGAGAGGATGGTATCATAGCTGCAGCTGTAACGTTACGTCGTCTGTGGGAAGTTTGGCACCGAGCAGAGTTAGTTTGTGTCCTGTCGTTTGTGTCCTGAGTTTAGAAAATGAGCATAAGTGATAATAGAAACACTCATTTATATAGTGAATGCGCCGCCGGGGACACTGAAAGCAACGAAACTACGCCTTTATTAACAAATGTAAGTACTAAAACTGCACCTTGTACTTCACAGCTACAGTGCTTTGGCCTAAATATACATGTGCACTTCAGGAATAAACAGCAGTAGCCTTTAAAGTAGGTATAGTATCGGTAAATGAGATTGATTGACTTGTCTCAGTGTTATGACAGACATCACGTGCATGTTCTGAAAAACTTGGCATTTTCAGTTTCCTTTTTGCCTCTGTCAGCACTTACAGGGAAAGTCCACCCTAAAACCGAAAATACACTTCAATCGAGTGGTTATTTTCCACTCAGGATATATCTGTATTTATATGTATTTCTTATGCATTCATACACTTACAGAGGAAGTCATCTGATTTTAGACATTCATTTGTTCTTCAAGATTACCACTCAGCCTATGAAAACAGTAATACAAGATGTTCTTTGGCTGTGGGAGGTTAAAGTTTACATACTAAATCCTTTCATTTTATCTGAATGTTTTACCTAAAAAAAACAATCACATTTAAAGATGCTGAGTCTAAAGACCACCAGAACTAGCCTTAAAGCACACTGTGACATTTTTTTCTTTACTTCTACAATGTAAACTCCTCCTCAGGTTGTTGAAATGTCTCAATTCTCCGCAGCAATACCGATGACATAACACTGGTGTCCCCAGTGGTACCTACAGACCTATCAAGACTTGGCACGTTGTCTGTCTGTCTGATATTGAACAAAGGAGTAAATGGTTCAGATTTACAAATTAGGCTGTTTTTAAGTATAGAAAAAATTCTATTTTTGTGTGGATTTCCTCTTGAATATCCTGAACATGAAGTTCTGATGCAGATAAATGCAGATCCATGTAGTGCTCATCACTAGTAACAATAGTAACTTGACAAAATGGATGCCATCCTCCCCAACTATTTTAGTTATATCAATCTGTGTCATTCATCTCCTGTTTTTATTTGGTCGGAAGCACAGGCTCAGAAGACGTGGTCACAGCAGAACCAGCCATGCCCTTAATTTAATCACACTTTGTCATGACAAGTTACTTAATTAAACAAATCATGGTAAAACATGTCCCAAATGACGTTACAGTGAACATGTTATCAAGATAAAACCACCAGTCTGAAAGCAAGCACAAGACATAAAATAGAAACCAGGTCAGATGAGCAGTGATTTGTCTGTATTTAATGGTAGGCTTGTTATTTCACTCAGCACCCTGCTGGACTGGCGTGCTGGGATATGCTTTGCCCTATTGTGACCCGGAACATGAATAAGCTGGTGATAAATTTTTATTTTGCCTGTGCATATTCATTTCAAAAGTTGCTTTAACAGGATTTTCAAATCAGTTTAATTGCTGCATTATAATTTTACACTGCAGCCAGTCTATGTTCCTGTCTGGTGTCCTAGTTTAGTTCTTGTCTTTCAGTACTGTAACTCGTGGTGATTCAGATTCAGCGGCCCGCAGGTCAATCCAAGCTTGTTGTGACACTGACACCAGAGTTGCCACTCGTTCTCTCCAGGATATCCCCTATTAGAGGGGTCAAGCAGTTTGGGCAGCTCCCCTTATCCTAAGCTCAGGCAGCTGTCCCACAGCCAGCAGCTCAAATCCCACCCCATCCATTCCCATTCCCTGATCCTACATGCCACTGCAGTGCTGTTTCATGACATCCATCATCAGGGCCAGCCAGTTGTTCTTAGTACTGTCAGGAGCAATTCTCTTAAAGCTCCTAGAAAAATAAACAGATTTCTACTGCTCCTTTTTTTGTTTTCACACCCATTGTTTACACCTTTTAATCTTTTTTCTAAATGTTATCTCTGCTGTGTGTACAGGGATTGGCTCAGACCAGAGCCAAAGGAGCCTCCATGGCCTCCTCTGTGTTTAACCTGATGAATGCAATCATGGGCAGCGGTATTCTGGGTCTAGCTTATGCTATGGCTAGCACTGGAATAGTTGGTTTTTGGTAAGACTGCTCTACCACAGTGGTGTTTAAACATCTGACAGCTTTTAAAAGTAAATCAAACAGAAATATGTGTGCACACATTTCTGCTGTATGTACCTTTCCTCTTCAGTATCCTGTTGGTAGTAGTGTCCAGCCTGGCAGCGTACTCTATACATCTCCTTCTGAAGCTATGTGACCAAACAGGTGAGAGACTAACAATGGATACACAGTCTAACTTTAGATAAGCACATTCCCGTGCATTTATCCAGGTTCTCTTTACTCTTTAAGCTAGGTGATTTGCTGTCTACAACAGTGCTATTGTGTCTTTTGTCTTATTTACTTAATAGTTGTTTGAATCAGGTGATGATGAGGTTTTAATCATCTTTTAAAGGGTCAATCTAGCAAAGAGATGAGATAAAAAGAGATAACAGTGGGTTCTCCGTTATAAATTACCACCCAAATACTTCAGATAAGTACTGTTTTGTGGGGGTAGGGGCACCCCATTCTGATTTTTGATCATCTTTGAAAGGGTACTCCACAGATTTTACGCATTAAAAGTGTGTCTTCAGGTCTTGGGGAGAACCACTGCGTATGTGTATAATGCTTTTTGTGGCTCCAGAGAGAACTGCACTAAGTCTGATGAAGTTAGTGTGGCATTGTGGGAAATGTAGGCACCAAAAGTTAATCTCTTCTCTCGTTCTTCTGCATCAAATTTTGATCCTTTTTTGTTTTAAACTGCTCATTGTGAGTCCCACAATGTTATAAGAGCACAATGCTAAATCAGTGGAGCACTCTTCGTAAGTAGTTGAATGTGTCTGATTGTTCTTTGATTTGACTCTCACAGGCATCAATTCGTATGAAGAGCTTGGAGAGAGAGCCTTGCAAAAACCAGGAAAGGTAAGTGTTGTCTTTTGGATTAGTGTGAGGTTGTCAAAAAAGGAATTCACTCACTTATGTTTTCAACACGACAAGGAGACATATTGACACTAACCGTCTTGTCAAAATTCTTTTTAGGTTCTGGTTGGAATTGCTATTATTATCCAAAACATTGGCGGTAAGTCAGCTCCCGTGTCAATGTACAGTTACATAATTATTTTCGACACATAAAAGGTTTTTGTAGTTTTTTTAGAAGCAGAATGTTGAAGAGGGTGCAGAATGCTGCAGGGTCAGACTATGGCCAGTTTCATTTTGGAGGCAGACAGTGCCTCCTACTGGTGGTCAGACACCTCTGTGCTCAGGTTTACTCCCTCCTTCCTGTAAAGGCTATTATCCTGATTCCCTGATAACCTTTGACCCTGTAGCTGCTGTCCTCTTGGCCCCCTCCCCTGAGCCTGAAACCTGACTTCTCGTCTAATTGATCACTGATGGTAAACCCACCCAGTGTTGAGTAACCTAATGGGACCCCTCCCTTTATTTCCCCCCCACTTCTCTCTCTCTCCTACCATCTCCATCCGTCCCTCACCCACAAACTGAGCTCCGCAGACAGTGGAGAGCTGAGGTGATAGCTCTTCTACAGTCATTAGTGGCACGCCTGAGTGGATTATTGCCGTGCCCTCTGGTATGTTTGTGGTTTTCCCAGCATGGGGCAGTATGTGTGAGAGTGTGAGAGCCAGCACTCCAGCATGCATCTGTCTACACCCCGGGCCCCTTTTATAAGAGTGCAATTAGCCTCACTCTGGGTAAACATTCATCTGCACTGCCAAAGCCTGATGGGCCAATTGACCTTAATTACTGACCAGCCCAGGGCTCTCACAGCCTGCCTCTCCCCTTGGTCTTAATGAAATGAAAGTGGCTCTGTCTTATGTTGAACACACTCTCCCACTGTTTGCTGACCACACACAGAAGGTTTACATCAAATTTCCAATGAATTTTTATGTGCATGCTTATTATTAGAATATGTTTTCCTACCACTTGGCCAATAACAATCCTTTTTCTTCACTCAAGGACCTTTTTTTGTTTAGAGATGTAAGTATTATCCCACTAGGAATTTCCCATTAAAGTGTTGTTGTGCTTACAGTAACCCAACTGCATGAAACTAAACCATTGCATCAAGCCTGCTGTGTGATCCCTGTCAGTGTGTCAGTGTGGGGTTTGTGTGGTTTTAAAGATTTTTTGTTTTATGGTTTGTTTTACATTTTTGGATAAACTTTTGTAGGGAAATGTTTTTTGGCTAAAACACTAAAGCAACTGCTGCCTCAGAATAACCTCTTATTGACAGACTTTAGTGCTTATAGATGGTAGTAGTTATTCACAGACTGAGTGTCTGTGTGGGCTGGAGGGTTATTGGAGGATTTCTCTTTTATAAACAAAGACAGGATCTGAGGGATTATGGTCTAGGCTTATTTAACGGCGAGTGCAAGACCTGCCCTGGGGCAGTAAGGTCCCAGCTAACTCTGGCTCTGCCCAGCTTCACAAATTTAAATCACTTAACATTCTCTCCCTTCATGACTGACCACACACTGCATCTGATTCAACTAGAAAACGTCCTCTGCACCTGGTGCAAACTCTCTCTCCTCTCTCCCATATTCCTCCTGGTGTTTTTGGGGCTGGTATGACCCTCGGGAAGTGACCCCAATCCCCCTCTCTGATTGGCTGTCCGTGGAAGGATGTTGGAATCTGTTGGAGGCTGATAATATCCTGTTTCCTAGTGAGGTGGAGCAGGGGGAGAAATACCTGGATTAGCATCAGAGATCATTATTGTTAGTATTCCTCCCCTTCTTCATCCCGGCTGCTGCCCCCGGTTTCCAT